GTTTCTTATCTGCCATCCATTTTCTTAAACCCCTTTGCAGTTGCTCATGTGATGACGAAACAGGATGTAGCAGGCGCAGCATTAGGGTTCTTTTCCTTCTGCTGTACAAACGTTGCGCTGGACTGTGTTACGGAGAGAGCTAGCAATCAAGCCGAGAAAGTGCATCGATCTGAAAATAGAGATCGAACTCGACTATAGATCAAAATGCGAGTTGATGCGGAATCAGAGGCAAGTTGGATCACGAACTTGAACCATTTGAGTTGTGTTAATTAACGCCAATTAGCATCTCCAATATTGTTGTAGTTGCTCACAACCTATTTATTGGGCCGTGCTCTCATACAATAAGCCTCTCTGTCTACCGAACCTTGGTCTTCTGTATTCCGTTGGTGGGCTGGGCGCGTGACTGAGCAGTCAAACAGTCGCAGTCTCAAGGGGCAGCTAGCAGCAGTACCACAGTCGTCAGTGGCATAGAGCAGAGGTAAAGAAAGAAGCATTTACAACAGACTGAGATCGATGTTCGGTAATGGCGTATTGCGAATCTCCAACAGGATTAGATACCGGTCCTCATGAGTGGCTCTGGCCTTCGACAACAGCCTCTTGGCTTGTTTGACCTCTGCCTCTGCTTTTCTATTTGACTGCGATACGGACTAATTGTCGATGCGAAAATTCCCACTTGTTCGCGAAGGCCTGGAACGCAGCACTTGTAAAGTGCGGCCCAGTGTCGGAGATCAGTTCCTCCGGTATTCCGTGTCTGGCGAATTGGCATCTAAGCTTGCTGATAACTGCTTCCGTGATGGTAGCGGTGAGTGGATCGATCTCAAAATAGTCCCTATGATAGTCCACAGCGATTAAGTAGTCTTTCTCGTTGTCACAAAACAAGTCAACTGCTACTTTCTGCCATGATCGATCTGAAGTCTCACGCAACATCATTGGTTCCCTAGCTTTGTGAGCCTCGTAGGACCGGCAGACTTAACAACTTGATACTTGGTCTCAAATTTGACTTGTCATCCCGGGCCAGAAAAACAGTTCGCGGGCTCTACTAATATTGCAGTTGACACCCAAGTGGGCTCAATGAGCGTGTTCTAGCATTTCTTTGTGAAGTGGCGGTGGGATCAAAGTGCGATTTCCTTTGAAAAGTAAACCGTCATACACCGTGAGTTCAACCCGAAAGTTGAAGAATGGCGTTAATTCCTTCGAAAGTTTATCTCTTGTATCTTACCATCCCCCAAAAATCACGTCGCGCAACGAAATACGTCGCGTTTGCCTCCGTATGACGCCATATCTCTTTCAGGCGATCTGTCGTTACCGTCAGATGTTGTACGATATTGACTGCCGAGTTCTTCCTGTTGTTGTTCAACTATCGGTAGATGAGCTCTCGACAGAGCTTTCGCGATGAACATTTGCGTCCCCGGGGTGTACACAAGATCCATGTCGTATTTTTGGAGCCGGACAAGCATATATTGAAAACGTTGAGGGGCATTGTAACGGTCTATTGGCTATTGACACGAGTGGTTTATAGTCATAATGCACGGTAGTCTTCCTTCCAAAGGTGTAACCGCTGAATGGCTCCATTGCGTAGACGACAGCGAGTATTTCCCTTTCGATATGTGCACAGCGCTGTTCAGCCACCATTAGCGCTCGACTGCGGAAATCCAAGAGTTTACCATCCTGCATGAGAACGGCAACCATTCCGCTCTGGCTGCGGTCACATTGCACCTCCAAAGGCAGAGCTGGATCGTAGTAACCGAGTACTGGTGCACAACTAATAAGATGCTTGATGGTTGTAAAAGCGGCCTCATGCTCTTCTCACCAACTCCACTTTACAACTTTGTGAGTCAGTTTTTCAATGGGCCTCATGAGTACAACAAGTTTTGGCAAGAATCGACTCAAATAATTTACCATACCGTTTAAGCGACTAACAGCCTTGACGTGCTTAGGTTGTGCCATCTCCTGTAATGCCTTGATGATTCCGGGATCAATCTTTATTCCCTCGGAGATCTAAACGTGCTGGTGAAAAATCACTTCCGGTTTCCGGAGCTCAACTTTCTTGCGTTTGAGCTTTATGTTCTTTTGCACACCACGCCGCAAAAAGTGGTGCAGATTGGTGTCATCTTCCTGTCCATTTGAGCCGTAAATCATTACATCACCAGCTACACACGCTACATCGTCCAGGTCGTCAACAGCTTGTAGTAACCGCTTCAGAAAAATTACGCTCAAAACCTTCAAACCAAACGGTAAACGTAGCCAGCGAAAACGCTCGAAGGATGTGGCAAACGTCGTCAGGAAACTGGATTCTTCATCTAAGACCACGTGCCAGAACACCGATGAGAGACAATTTGGTGGAGTATTTTGCTTTGGCCAAACGCATCTTCTAACGTTGGCAGTGTACAGTGTTCTCTACGTAAAGCCTTCATTCAACGGCTTTGGATCTAAGCACAGACGCAAATAACTGTTCTTTTCCAAATAATCGCGACTTGGCTAACCAGTCTGTCAGCTAGTCGGACCTAGCGATTACACCCCACTGCGTCAAGTTACTTCACTTGGTGGTAACCGTTAGGTAAAGCAAACGGAACCCTTCTAGCCGGCAGCGCAGTCGGTCGTACTGACGGCTCTAGTGACAAATGAAGGGAATCTTCAAACCTCCCCAAACCTGGGTTAAACACGGACGGATACTGTTCACTAACTAACATCTGTGTCCGTTTGACATGCATGCACAAAACGATCACTGTTAGAAATCAAGACACTGGATGGAATCAATGCCAAGAATCGGCGTCAGCTCTTCCTCCACGACCACAAAATCCAACTGAGGTGAAGAGCCGTCTTGGATTGATCACTTTGCTTTTGGCCCAACCTTTGACTGGAGCTTGGAACTATTCCACATACGCATGAACCCCTGATCAAGCCGCACATAAATACCTGGGCATCGCTTCGCTGTAATTATGTTGCTGGCAGCACCAGTGTACAAGGGGAAACGCACCACTTCGTCACCAACCAACAAATTTGCGTAGACCCACTTCTTCAGTCTCATCTACGACGCGTTGCTGATGAAATGTCCAGTCGGAGGGCTTTGTGTCACGATTGAGTGCATTCACCTTCGAAGACTGACAACATCGAGCGAAATGATTCCGTCTGCCGTATCTGGCGCAAATTCGGCGGCACGCCGGACATTGATCGCGATCCTTCGGGTGTCGCGCAGCACAGAATTTGCAAGTTTCTCATGTCTTGATAACAGGCTTCGCAGTTTTTTCAGATAAACTGGCTACGGCACATAGCTCTGCTTCTGTTGGCAACCGCATTTGCTGGATCTGGTGTGCAGCTGATGATTCACTGCGGCATGTATCAAGGCATTGTCTAAGCGATAATTGCCGGTGCTGCAACAGCCGCTTGGAGATGCTTTCATCATTGTTGCCTAGCACATTTCTATCTCGGATGGGACTGTCAACCATACAATCGCAAAAATTACAGGAACGAGTGACTTTCTTTATTCTACTGGTCAGAAGTACGGATATCGTGATCGTCGCGTGGCTTGGGGGCTTAACTCGGTCACCTATCGGAGTCAGTGCGACACCTCAGAGGTCGTTTCACGGCTGATGCTTATCTTAAAGTGAATGGCACACACTTTGGAACGCCAAAATCTTGTTTCAACTTACTCGATGCACCGGCTTAAAGGTAGTCGTCTATGAATTAAACAACTGAGAGGAGAGACAGTTTCAGGCGACTGCAACGAATCGATCATGACGGCACTCGTAACCTTCGCCGGTCGAATGTTGAGTTAAGGCAGGATCTTCAGCTCTTTAATATAGTTCACGATGGTTTCGTTTGGGCGTCAATTTCGGGTTAAAAAAGTGATAGCACAGCTACCTCTCATTAGTCTGGCTTTCGCAGATATCGCCGAATTTTCCGATGACAGTTTCCAGAGCAGCTGGGTCTTCGTCTTTTTCATACTCCATCGCTTCCTCTCCGATTGTATGTCTAAACACCACCAATCGATACGCCATCGGTTGTTCATTCAACCGCGCTATGAGGCAGAAATCGATCCACTTGCTTTTCTATATTCCTCGACTATTGACCAAGCAGGAGGAGGGCCTTGTTTTATCTGCCAGGCTTAGGGTGGCGCAAGGCTCGAGGTGGACAGAATTTGACCTGGCAGCGGGAAATGAAATCACTGACGACCAAACTGGGTGCCGTTGGTCCATCTCGCCTTCCTGACTGGAGTCCACCTGACTCGCCTTGTGCTTGGCTGGAGACTCTACAGGACATGGCTCGCAAGCTACACCAGTGGCGCCTCTGCAGCTGTCTCCTAATCGGTTTGTTTGTTTAAAGTGCTTTTGGTGCTGAATTATCTGCGGGGTAATGGGTGATTATGATGCGTGGCAGTGAAAGCTGCGAGGAAGCTGTCTCGCCGATACCGCCTTATCTTTGCATGATAGCCAGCTGTTTGTGACGGTATGTTGTCTACACAAAGTGTAAGCGCCTTGACCCTGAATGTTTGCTTTGGGCATTAAGGATTTCCGGTAAGTCCCTCTTCTCTCCGTATGAGGTTATCATCTTATTGGACTTCGGTTGGTTTCCATCAAACTGCTTTTCTTGAGCACAGTTTATTTGTGTTATTATGATTGTTGAGATTTTTGCACGAAAACCCAATCAGGACACCTTGTGGCTACCAGTTTTGATCACCAAACCACTCAGTTCTGCAAACAATACGGCACCACGGTTTAAATGTCACACCACACGTCGGTACAACTACCATTCTTCTGCTAACATTAAAATTCCTAATCTTCAACCGATTCCACTTTTCCTGTTTACCGGAAGTCTTCACAACGACTGACCGAGTGCGATTTCAGTTTTATATTCACTATGATCTTCGCTGCTCTTTACTTTCCTACAAAAACGCTCCCGGTGTCCTGTCTGACGTGTTTTTGACCATTTTTTTTCTCTCTCTCTCTCTACATGATATTTTCGACTGTATACTTGCACTTTGTGTGTGTTATTCCACTCAGGTTATGATCGGTTTGGGTTTTCCATATGAAGGCCCTGCACCTTTAGAAGCCATCGTCAACGGCATTGTCTTTGTCAACCCACGTTTTGATCCGCCTCATGACAGACACAGGACAGCATTTTTCAAAGACAAGCCTACTTCTCGAAAGGTAATTCGGTGTAATTCCTGTTTACCACTTTTACCGGTCTAGACTGACCCATTTGTTTCCAAAATATTCGCATTACCATCATTTCGCCTCGCAAGGTATCAAACAGTTATAGATTGTGTCCGACGAAATTTATCCTGTGGCTTCATGGCTGTTCTGATGTTACTCGTAGGCCATTTAACCTAGACTTCGCTTTCCCATGTTTTTTTCCTGTCCATCTTACTGCCCTTACTCTTTTTGTGACTATCCGTCGCACCCGGACTCAGTTAGAGGGCCACTGCACATCCGGAACAGCACTAGACAGTCACGTCATTTTACTGAGACATTAGTGGTGAATATCGGACGAGTCCTCTTTGGCTTTCAACTCTTGATTTTGCTCTCTTGGGATCTATTTTGGCCCTCTTCTTCTTCTTCACCATGTATGTCGTTTGTCGTAGAGCACTTGTACAGCCGAAACGTATTTGCCTTCCGGCCGAGATTCACTGTGCTATCCACTCCCACATAAGCATCCCTGTCCTTTATAAGCTTTCTGCTACACCGTACTGTAGTGGTGTAACGAACAAAACGCAGAGTGAATCTGAAATCTACGATGCCATTCACAACATAAAATAAAACCCCCGTAAGTTGACCACCCAAGGGACGGGACCAAAGTGGTCAACATACAGTGGTGGTCAACCTACGGAGGTTCTATGCCAAAACTTTGCGTAACCTACTTTCCCCTTGTGTAGTAATATAGTATGGAATTATTTTCACACTAACACATTAGACGAGGTCTCACGTAACGGCAAACGTAGTTCACCCATACAGTGTTATAATAAATCAGAACGCAGTGTGCATTTCGCGTTAAATCTTTTTTGAAGCAGAAGTCAATCTTTGTCTGTTCCTCTCATCACCAAGGTTACTGAAAAAACTCAGCACGAGCTACACTACTCATCATGTTTGGACATTTTCCAACATTAAATGATTTCAGTTGCATTAAAAGATCTCTGACTCTATCTCCCTTTGGAGTTTGTGATTTCCAAATCATCGTTACAATCTTTCTTTTTCATCATCAAGATCAGGTGTTTTTCTTCGTTCCCGTAAGAGAAAATAGCATCTGGGTCTGGTTCACTGCAAGTTACCAAGTCATCATCCAATTAAACTCACTAAAATCTATCCCGCCGAATTCTGTCAATTGAGAAGGACTGTCTAGTAAGGCGACGGCATCCCGCTCGACAGATGGGACAGATCCGGCTTTCCTGGAACACTTTTGTATAATTCCTAGCTGAACTTTGAACTAAGCGGAACTTATCCAAAGCACAGCATCCAAGGCATTAACTGGAGCAAAGGATGAACTTGCTTCCGCATTCGAATCAATAGTATGCAATTTTGCCATAGCCCATTGCATGAGCTGAACTCAGTAGTGCATATTGAACAGTTTGATGATCCCTCGGACCCGAGGTTGCGTTTCTGATGTCATGTGTGTAGGCAGAAACTTTAGCGTAATATTTGTGAGGTTTTCTACATGGGTGTGGCTAAGACAGTTATCCACTGTTAGAATAATGAAGCGTTTCTTCTACATCTTTTCTTTGTCGAAACTTCTGATCCACTCCTCAAATATGGCAGCAATCATCCACGCAGATCGGTTTGATCTCCAGATGATTGGAAGGTTTTCAGGATTTAGGTTTTGAACGCACGTGGTCTAGCTGATTTATCAATAACTAAGGTCTTCAGCTTCTTCGCACTTGATCTAGCGCACAATAGAATTGTGAAACCTTCTTTGGGATGTTTTCCACTCTTTCATTTGTCATCCTTTATAACAGCGCTTCTGTTAAGCATCGTCTTGTAAAAGAGACCGCACTTGTCAGCGTTAAAAATATCGTCATTGTTGAAACTCTTGCTAATGTTAGAAAGTTTTTCGCTGAAGTCTTAAACACACTCTTCGGGCACTTCATTGGATTTACCACACAAAACTTTGGGAAATTTCATGTCGCAGTTTAAAGTTTTCTAGCCAACCATTGGATGCCTGGCCATCTGCAACCACAAATTCTTGTGAGAACCTTTGAGCACTTTCTTGTACCATCGACACAGAAAGTCGAACGTTAGCTGCTCTCAATTGTTTGAACCAGCGCAGCGTAGCTTCATTGACTTCATCGTGTGAAGTTTTCCGTCTCCTTAGCTGTTGACCTCCTCTTTCTTTATCGTATCTCGCCAAGTACTCGTGTTTATGTTCTTGGATGTCACGAACTGTTTTCTTGCTAACATCAAAATGCTCTGTCATCTTTCTTTGGCTACTACTTTCCAGAAAATGTAGCAGACTAATCTTTCCCTTCAAGGTCAACTCTATGAGGTCTTTTCTTTTGACCGTACTGTTGAATTGCTCGTAACGACCGATCCTAACTTGTTCACAGCACGGAGTAGATCTAAGGTCAACGGTTCTATTTACGTAACATTAATTACATTCAATAACTAACCTGAATTGGTTTCACCCTCAGGCCGACACCAAATAGAGCCGGATAAACGCTCGACAATTAATGTGAACGTAGACGTCAATCTCGCCATACTTCAAGTTGCTTATGAACTGATGCTTAGACTTGGTGATTACTCGTGTGTTTGAGTCACTCAAACTCCTGCTTGCGATCTGTGCGATGAGTGGACATATTTTCTTAGGGTCAAAGGTAAGTTTGTCTGTTTAGGTGGACAGGTGAGGGTGGTTGAACACAAATCGTTCTATACCATTTTCCATTGAAGTTGGACATTCGGGCAAAACATTTACGTCTGGGGGTCAACGGGGTTGCTCCTCCGGGGCAATCAAGTTGAGTCTTCGCTATGCGGAATAGAACCACTCACTGGCATGGTAGGGGCTGTTTCATTGGCCAAGCGCCTGAGGTCCTATTTGCTGAAGGCGCTTGGCCAATGAAACAGCCCCTACCATGCCAGTGAGTGGTTCTATTCCGCATAGCGAAGACTCAACTTGATTGCTCCGGAGGAGCAAACCCATTGACCCCCAGGCGTAAATGTTTTGCCCGAATGTCCAACTTCATTGGAAAATGGTATAGATCATTCGGTGGGCGTGGATCTGTGTGGACTCGCATTGATCTTGGCAATACGCGTGCACGTAAATGCCGACGGCCGGGACACACATCCACACAGAGAACTCATTGTATCCTCAAACGTAAAGTTCACTGATTTTGGGGTCAGAAGTCCACACATCGCAGTCGCGCTGCACACCGTGTTATCGGAACAAACGAGCCATTCGGGAATTCTTGGATGGTGCGCCCTCAAATGGTCAACCTATGGAGGTTGAATTCTTACTGTCATAGCCTAAGTGGTCAACATACAGAGGTCTGGTTCCATAATTTACACAGTGACCGTCCAAGCTATGGAAAAGTGGTCAACGTAGGGAGGTGTTCGAGATATTGAGGTCGTCAACTTAGGTTTCCTGTAAGTGACATAAATAGACCAACATCATTCATTTGCGTCCATAGGTCGACAACAAATTACACCGGATTAGCGCTCAAGTAGTCACTGCGCTCTAAATCGTTATCGTTATCAGCTGTCCGAGATATTTCATGCAGCCATTTCCCTTCAGAAATTTCAAGAGAGAAAGAACGAACAGCATTTATGCTGTTCGTGTCTTCTCATTCAGCCGCTTACAGACAAGTCGTGGAAAAAGTAAAGGAATGCAATTGAAAAAGGTTGTCGATAGGAATATCAATAAAACACTGAGAAAATCAAGGTCATTACCATCGCCTTACCAGAGCAAAGCAAGATTGGCCACAAAGTCTACCTGTTTGCAAAGGTTTGGTTTCATTCGTCGGATGGCCGAGGCTTCAGCGAAACGAAGCAAGCTCGCGTTGTTTTGTCTGCTGATAACCTTGAATGCGTCACATGGGTTTTCGCATAAGGTACAATCGAGCAGATGCTGAGCGATGGAGCTGGCACGGAGTTTAGGTCCACTATTTGTCAGGTTCCGTGGAACATGTTCCATGATCCTAGTTGATAGCCTTCTCTCGGTTCGGCCAATGTACATGCTACCGCAAGTACAGGTATACACATGAGGCGATAACCTGAGATTGAGGCCTATCCAAGTTGGATTCATGGAACAGCTTCTTGGTTTGATGTAACAACACGAACTCAGCTGCGTAGTAGCACCTTTTTCTGGCTTGGCGTAATCGGTAGCACAATCTTCTGTCTTTCTGTTCCCATTTGTATGGTAGCGTGATGAAGACCTTTTTCTTTGGGACATCTATTCGTGTTTCTTTCTTAGCAACCTCATTCCCATACCTGGCGATGAATTCATTAGGATAGCCGTTATTGCGTAGGTTAGATTCGATGTGTCGTAATTCAGCCTCGAGCATATTCGGTGTGCGTGTGTGTGGTGAGCAGGGGTTGATCAAGTTGGCTTGGAGCTGGTCAGTTGCTCAAACTGCTAACTGCGGAGGGCTAGATTGCAACGGATGCGGTCTGTACACTGCGTAATCGCGTATGTCGAAGGAAAGGCGTAATGTGCGTCGGCGCATGTGGACGCACTGGGAGAGGATGGATATATTTGGGTGTTGCTCTTCCCAACACCCAAATATATCCATTCAGGATACGGTCCTCGAGATCGGAATGACCGAGGTTTACCTCAAAGTGAGCCGAGGTCTCAATAGAGGTTGTGAGTCGCAACCCAACCACACAGCGTGCTTCCAAATTCAACCTGGACTGGGAGAGGGTTCACTATTGGCCTTGAAGGTCACGCCAGAGATGTAGACTGGGGAACAGTGACAGAGAGGGCGAGGATGACACTCAAATACCCACGCGCAGAAACACTGGGACCGGGTCAACATGCACACACACGCACAGAGAGCGTGCGGTAGCGACGAATGTCTTATCCATCAGGTGCATGGAACGTGGATCAGAGGACCTTCACACGTAAAACGAAGTCCCGCTGCAAGTGGTGTCCCGTCGTTGAATTATTCGAGTTTCACGTTTCCTTTGTCCCTTCTGTCCATTCAACTGCGGTAGGCTCCAGTGTATGT